AATTCTAATATACTTCCTACTTCCTTCTCTAGACATTATGAAAGAAGGTGGACAAGATGAAACAAATGTTATCTTCTTCTAATAGTTATATTAGAAGTCAAAGTTGCAAGAAGCTGCTAATATGTGGAGTTCAAACGATCATTTACACGTTTGGGTTCCACTTTAATGTTGCTTCATATGAATTGGAATTGCTTTCTATGCTTACTGGAAAAATTTTGTCGGATGTTCTCTCTTCTCAGGATGGTTATCACACATTTCGTGGAGGATTTTGGAACTATTTCAGCATGGGTAAGAAATATAAATCCGTGCAAGAATTTCACAATTCGCAACATTTTTTTCTAGAAAAAAAAAGGCGATTTTCTTATTTGTTTAAGGCATGTAGATACAAAGATAAATACCTCTGTATTACTCCTTCATGCATCTCACGAGTGGAGACCATAGTTCTTTGGATTAGGCTTGGTGATAGGAATAGTCTGTTAGTGCCTTCAAGAATCAACATAGCTCTTATGAGTCTAAAGACGGCAGTTTTCCAAGTTAACCTGATATAATCCACCACATGTAATTTTGTCCCTGACTTGATGGCCTCAGGTTGCCTGAACTGTCAATTATATTGAAATTGTTTTCCCCACAATATATACGGTGCAATTGATCATTTGAAGCACTTTTTACAGTTAAGGTGCTAATGGGAGAGAGTGTTTTGCTCACCTAATTGAACCAACTATAGTTCTTCTGTCTTCTTATTTAGATTCTTAATTCTGATTTTTCCATGGAAGTGGGACTAAGCCTAATAGCTCTTTTGCTTTTACATATTATTGTTAGTAGTTTGTTATCTCAATGTCAATAACTTGGTGAAGTTACCTTTTATTCTGAATGCAATAATGAGATCATGGTGCGGTAACATTTCAATTCACCAATAAGATTTGTTCTGGTCAGGATTGGATGCTCAAATATCATATGCATTTCACTCTGAGAGGAAGTTGCACCCAGAAAAATTCAGAAACCAGTTAATTAATCAGATAAATTTATCTGTTCGGGTGTGTTGAAGGTTGTTTAAATCTGAAATAATCGGATATAGCTTTATAGGTGGTTTAATTACAATACCTTTTATGCATTATTTCTGAAAATGAACTTGTTCAAACAATATTACTATATTACAGGATCTTTTGTTAAGTTTATACAAGTACAGTACCTTTTATGCCTTATTGTTTCTGCAATTTACATGTCTTTCTTTATGGTGAAGCAGGGTACTTACGTAAAGCTTGGATGAACTCAAGGATGGCTTTTCGGATCTCTTTTTCGTCCTTCTCCAACGTGAGTCTTCTTGTAGATGTTTGATAATATAAATTCCTCTCATGTCTACAACGACGTCTTTCTTCTGAATGACACCATGCATTGCTTTGTTTTAGTGCGTTCATTGTCCGGTTATTAAGCATTTAACTTTGATGTCTATTTTCCTGACTCCTGAGCTATGTATCGATGTCAATACAGGAGCATAGCTCAAATAACAAAGGTTAAGGTTTTGAAGAAACATGGCCAATGGGAAGACCTCAAAATGCCTCGAAGGTCGAAGTCCTCTTCCTCATTACATCTTTAATGATTATATAAACAACACTTTGGTTTCTCATCGTAATTGCACTTACTTTCGAACTCAGCATCGGATCTATTGTCTGCCTCAACTTGCCTAGCTTCTCTGGTGGATTCAATCCTTGGGGAACACCATATAGGAAGAAATTTCTCTATGGTTGTTAGAATTCTCCCTTCAATTTTTTACCTTATGTTACAAACTGATTTCTAATGAAAAGGTTTCGATTGTGAATTTTGGTTTTACAGAGAGGATTGACTCCTCCTTTTGTAGATGAAGGCCTAATTGAGATAGTCAGATTCAGAAATGTTCTGCATGGGCTAGTTTTGCTTGCTCCAAATGGACATGGGTATCGTTTAGCACAGGTAGAAGCTTCTTCACAACTTTATGAGAAAAGAACTGTTAAACCATTTTAACTGTCACTTCTAATATTCTACTTTCGATCCCGATGTTTCGGTCTGCAATTTCAGGCAAATGCGGTCCGCTTCGAGTTTAAAAAGGGTGCAGCCAATCACACATTTATGGGGATAGATGGAGAACCATGGAAACAACCTCTCCCAGCAGATGATGACACAGTTGTTTTGGAAATATCACACTTTGGTCAAGTAAGCATGCTTGCTACCCCATCGTGCCGCTCCCGGAGCGCGTCCGATCCCTCTTCACTGACAGCTTGCTACGTCGAGGATAACAATAGTACAGACGAAGGAAAAACTGGCAATGATTTCGAAGAGAAACGAAAGTTCGATGCAGCTGACAGTTTCAAATTCCCAGATGAACTTGATATAGCTCACCTCAGTTAAACTCCTTCCTATATCTGAGTTTGATATTAGCCATTCAGAATAGATTGTTTTATCAGATCAACTAAGAGATTGATGTTCTCAGAGGCTAATCGACCATGGAAAATGTATGGACTTTGTTTGATCCCGAGTACTATAAACTTGGTAGATTTAGTTAATAGTGGATAAAATTTTAACAATTTCCCCCCAAAAAATGTGGAGCAAATAGTAAATTGCGAAGCATTTGTAATCTGTATATCCATTGTGATTCCGTGAAGGGTTCATTGAAGTACTTCACAGCCATACATTGGGTGTGAAGGGTTCATACTCCATATCAAGAACCAATCTCAATTTTTTTTTATTGGGATTTTCCCATTTCTTTACCTTCATTGTTTATTATAATTTAGGCTGAATTCACAATTTAGCCCCTGAAGCGTATGTGTACCTATTTTCTCACTTTACACTTTAAATATTTTTGTATCCCAATTTACCCCCTAAACTATAATTTCTGTCCCAACTTGCCTCAAATATTATCGGTATTCAATAATATATTTCATATATCATGCTCTTATTGATCACATTTTTGGAGTAAACTAAAATGAAAATTGTAATTTAAAGGAACAGAAATAATTTAAGGTGCAAAGTGGAAAAAAGTATACGTCGAGCAAAATTGTTTACTCCAAATATAAAATCTTTGTCGACAGTTTACAAAAATAATTTGCATACCACTAGCAAAAAAATTTAAAAATAATTTGAATGTTTATAATATAATGTTTGTTCAGAATTTTTTTTTTAACTATTTATAGTTTATATTACTCTGTTACAGGCGTAGTTGCTTAAACTTAGGATCCCTAAGAAAAAGAATATTCTCTTTAACTATTGAGACTACTTGAACAGTTCTCCACTAGCCAAATTTTAATATACAAAAATACGAATTTAGTATATTTATTCAAAACTTGGATTATTTATTATTTTGATACTTATTAGATTCAGTGATAAGAAATTCAATGACCTTTTTAAGTAAAATTGGAATTTGATTAGTAAAAACATTGCAAGTGAGAGCTTTGACCCCATTTACAGGTTTGACGAGACACGATTTCAAATATAAACGAAATTATCCCTATTTTCTTTAATTGAGATGAAACCAAATTTGAGTTGTCGAGTTAGAAGGTTTAGGGATTTGCTTCTTTCTGGGTCCATTTGATTATGAGATGTATGGTATCGGTGATATTTTTAATTCGTGTTAATGGTTCTCTAACTCAGAAATTTGGGTCAAGTCGGGGTCTTCGTCGGTTTAAGGGCATCCGTGCGAATCAATCAGGACCTCGGGATAATTGGGCTCTTAGGACTTCAAATTCTTTATTTTTTTTATTTGATTTATCTCGAGATAATTTTTTAGGATGTATTAAACAATGTAAGGATTATTTAATTTCATATTTAGCTGGATATTTTTTCCTTACAAGTCTAACATCTTTATTTTTGTTATAGAAAATATTTTAACGAGACCCGTTAACTTTTTTTAAATTCCTTTACAAATATTAAAATTTAATCTTATAATTTTATTTAAAAGATTTAATGATTATTTCACTGTACCAACTAGTAGAAGATATTTAGGGATTCCCTTTCAAATCACGTGTTGAAGCCATTAGTTTTACAATTTTCCCCAAAGAATCTCCAAAAACACGAAAGCATAAGCCCCCTGGTTGTCCCCCAAAACCATGGGAACTCCCATCCTATAAAAGTAACCCAACATTTAATCTCACCATCAAAAATCAACCAAAAACTCACAATCTCTGAACAAATCGTGAAATACCCAATTCAGAAAAAGAGATGAGTAGTGGAGGAAGGAAAGCAGGTACAATAGGGGCGGTGGAGGCATTGAAAGACCAAGGGATTTGCAGGTGGAGCTACACCATTAGGTCTCTTCATCAACATGCCAACAACAATCTCACATCTTCTTTCTTTTCTTCTTCTTCTGCTGCTGCTGTTTCGAACAAGTTGATAGAGGAAAAGAAGAGGAAAGCCGAGAGGAATATGAAGAAAGTCTTGGATTTGAGCTCTTGGGGCCCTAATACTGTTAGGTTTTAGAATCTAGATTGCTGTAAATTATTAACCTTTTCAATTTTTACATTTCATAAGATTTGGCTCATTTGTATTGGGGTTATCATACGAAATTCAATCTAATTTTGGACACTCTCTTTTCTTCTAATTTCTAATCTATTCCGTATAATATTGTAAACACGTTTGAATTTATTTAAAAACCCAATTTAATATCTAAATTATTTATCTATCGTTATTATTGTTTACCATCGTCATCGATCGCCACGATGACCGCCACCCATTAGAATTTCGTTGCTGATCATCTATGGACTTCAAAATTTTTAATTTACTAAATTTTTTACTCTTAAATGCAAATCTCATAATTGTTTTGTTATTATCAAAAATATGGTTAATAATATACTGGTATAATGGTCACAATTAGACTAGCTTTCCAAATTTTATAAATTTTAATTAATTAAAATAGGTGGTCTAACTTCTAAATTTTTGTAAATAGAGGGATTAAAATGAAATAGCACCTAACTTTTGTTGCCAAAACAGAAACCAGCAGTCGGATTTCTTTGTTTGCGTCACTAAAAAATCGAAAACAGTTTCGTCGCCAAAAACGGAGGGGCTAGTTTCCACATACCTTGCTAAAACCGCCTACTGGTTTTGGGATTCTCCAGTCTATAAAATAAACCCCAACACTATTCTCCTCTCAACTCAAAATCAAAGAATCCAATACCCAGGAAAAGGAAATTTTAAACAATGAGCAGTGGAGCAGCAAGGAAAGCCTGGATTGTGGCGGCAACAATAGGAGCGGTGGAGGCCCTTAAGGACCAAGGATTCTGCAGGTGGAATTACTCGATTAGGTCACTTCATCAACATGCGAGGAACAATGTTGCCGCTTATTCTCAGGCCAAGATCCTTTATTCTTCTTCTTCTGCTGCTGCTGCGTGTACGTTGATGAATAAATCTGAAGTGAAAATGAAGAAAGTCATGGAGTTGAGCTGCTTTGGTCCTAATACTATTAGATTTTGATTGTTCATAAAATGTTATATTAATACGAGTGTTGATGCATAACTTGTTTGAAGATTCTGGGGTAGAAATGAAATTAAATGAACATGAACATAGCATTGGATAATAAATACGGATTTTTTATTCTGGGTTTAATGTTTTCATTTGATTTACGCAAATTATTTTCTGATGGACTAGTTTCTAGGATTGCAGGCGTGAGATAATATGGTTGAATTATGGAAAATTTTCTATTTACATTGAGATTAAACCATAAAAAAAACTAAAGAATTTACGTATGATGAACTCTGAACAAACCCATCATGATGTTCCAACCAAACGTAAAATCCCATGAACAGTTTATTTAGATCCCAAAACCTGAATTATTAATCATTGTGAAAGTTTCTTCAATACCAGTTTACTGCTTTCTACTATCAAAATGCTCTTAAACCTGGTGCTTCAATGCAACTAGAGATTTCAACTTCCATTTTCATTGTTTATGTTCAATGTATATTTGAATTAAATAGAATCAAAATTATATTTTATATAAAAAGAAAAAGATATCCATTGGGGTTTTCCCCATAGCTCTGCCTATGGTTTTGCAGTTTCTTTTATTGTCCACCACCTCACTATCTTTCATTCCCCATAGCTCTGCCTATAGTTTTGCAGTTTCTTTTATTGTCCACCGGCTCACTATCTTTCATTCCCTCACTATACAGTAAACTCATCCTTATGTTATCCCAAAACCAGCAAAGTCTAAACACAAAAATCACAATTTCTTACATTCACCCAAATCGAATTTAAGTGTGACAAAAATCTATGTGTAATTATATAATATTCGGATTAAATTTTAATTTAATTGACAAAAATCACAATCATAAAATAGACGTATTTTTATGTAAATATACTGAATCCAACAACAAAAAATGGAGAAAGAATAAAAATAGTACAAGTTGTTAGGACCAAAGACAAAAATATTCCACCTTTTAACATCAACTCAGGGAATAGAGTTATTCGTATTTTCTTCTTATTTACTCATTTGTCCCTTTCAAAACCTCCTTTCTTTTATAGTCTTTACTCACATTGAAATTACCTGTCAATATAATAATTGTAATCATATATTTTTAATTTTTTTTGGACCTTATTGTCAAACTTGAATCTATAGTTTGATGGCATTTAAAACTTTTCATCTAACATTTTCTTTTACCTTTCTATAATTTTTTTTCTTTCACCATATCAACAACCCATTACCATACTTCATTTCTTTCAAGGAATGTGTAGGCACCATAATATAATTGTATATGTAAATATAATTAATAGTTTAGTAATTACATGTTATAATTGTTATAAATTTTATTTTAAGAATTACATTATATGATTATTGATTATTAATTTAGTAATTACAAGAAATAATTATTAATTTAGTAATTACATGGTCACTTTTTATAGTTATATATATTCACCGACGGGTATTGACTAGAGTTGGGCATGGGTTGAGTTTCAGCCAACCCAACTTGACCAAAAAAATTTATATCCTTCACCCCATCCGATCCGACCCGAAAATATATACCCTTCACCCGACCCGAACCCGATCCAGCCCGACCCAAAATAATAAGAATATTATTTTTATTCAATAAAAGCAGTGATTTAATTGAAACAAATATATAGATGGGTATTATTGTAATTATTCTTAAATATATAAGATAAAATTATTATTTTTCAGGTCGGATCGGGTCGGTTGTTTTCACCCTAAAACTCGAATCTAACACAACCCGAACATCACCTTTAAAAAAAACTCGACCCAAACCCAATTTTTTTTAAAAAAAATTCCGAACCTAACCCATTGACAATAAGTTTTTAGGAAGTCAACTCTAAAATTATAAAAGAATTTCATATTTTGTAAGAGCAGCCAAGATAAATTTTAAAAAAGAAAGTTAGGGATTATAATGTAAATTTTCTAAATTTACTGGGGCCAAGGTCGCTAGCGTTCTTGTATGTTCCGCCACTATATATACGTGTGAGAAAGTTCATAAGCCCGTGCTGACATTCAACACATTAAAGACCCAACAACCCAACAAATTATTTATTTAAGAAAACGACCATCAATAACAAACACTTCCAACTTTTTCTTGTTTGGTTTCATGTTTTAAGAGATTTTTTTTTTTAAATTTAGTGAATATAAGATAGTATATGCTTAAAGATTCTCAATTATTTAACAATAAATGCTCATATTTATATATATGCGATGTTCGGATTTATGACCTCAACATATAATAACAATTTCCTTGATAATTGATGTCACTTTATTCATGCATATTTTAAAAGAATTATAATTAAAAGATATGCAAATTCGAGGCTCCAATACAAATAAAAAGAGGAAAATGTTTTTGTAATTTAGACATTTTTAAATACAATACAATTATATTTCACAAAAAAATTAATTTTGATTTTGATTATGAAGATGGATAAATATAAATATTTGTAGTTCAGATTAAATAATAATTAATTTAAAAATAAATAAATATATAAATTTATGTATTGTTAATGTATACGATTTATACAAATATATAGTATTTTAAATACAACAAATAAAAACACACGAAAGAACAAAATAAATACAACTATTCGAGCATAATACAAGATTGGAAAAGGCTTACGGGAGGATTTGTAGAGGGATTAATCAGAATGGAGATCGTCTACCCCCTCATTGGTGTCCCGCTTCGTGTCCCTTGCAGCATAGCGTGTCACGTAATGAAGATATATAATATAAATATAAATAAATATATAATTAAAAACATTATTTAGTATAATTTAGTTTGAATTGATATTTGTCATTAAATAAATAAATTGTATAGAAAAACTTAAATATGAAACTAATAAATATTATTACATGGCGCGCTATGGTGCAAGGGACAAGAAGCGGGACACCAATGAGGGGCGGATGATCTCCATTCGATTAATCAAGTATTCAATAGACTTTTTTTTTTAAAAAAGGGTTGTTTTGCATTATATTCAATAGACTTAAATAGATCTGATTATGGATTTCATCCATTCATTATAAAAAATTAAGAGGTTTAACTTTCTATTTTAATTTATTAGAATTTGATCATCATGCTTCAAGAACATTAAAATTTTTAAAAAAGCCAGCTGTTTTACATCCAACAATAGATTGATTCATACTGTAAAAAAATTCATTGACGGTCCAATCAAATGAATAAAATTCCATATCTCTTATTAATTATGGTCTTAACCATATCATGTTTTTTGTCTACAATAAAATAAATTTCTTGGTCGTATAATTTTCAAGTTCTTTTGACTGATTTGACCAAAACAAATTGTAGGCCGACCATTGGAGGGAAACAAAACTCTTCATTTCAGACATTAACTATATGTTTCATTAATGTAGTCCCTACAACATTTTTACATGCAAACTTAAATTTCATTAAGGCTAATTAAATCTCTTCGAGAGTTGAGATATTCGTTCATATTTTAACTATTAAAATTTAAAAAATTTAATCTATTTATTAAACTTTTGATTTATTCTTATTTTGACCATTCAAATATTAAATTATAAATAAAAAAATAACATGACAATCACATATACTTATGTAAACTGATTTTTATTAAGGTGACATCTACATGTTATTCATATCATTTTTTCTTTATTTTGTTTTATCTTATTCTTCTAAATATGAAATTCTATAATTTTATTATGTGACATTGAAATCATCATTCTCTAACATTTTCTTCAAACATTTAAGATACTGAATTTTATAGTGTTGAAATTCAACAACAATTTTTCCAATCATTTTCGAAATATCAAATTCTACCAGAAAAAAAAATGGAACTTTAACCAGGTAGGTGTCATAGTGGGAGAGTAAAAATAAAGCATGAGAGGTTGAAAATACTGGTCGTGCAATGATAACGCATTAATCTTTAGTTTTATTCATTGTTCTCTTCTTTTTTATTATATAAATATATTTATCAATTTTATTTTGCAATATTTGTGAATTATCCCTTACAAATACAGACAAGAACCATTTCTTTTATCTTTGTCTGGTGGCCAATTTGTTAGGCAACAACAATCCCATTGCCAGGCAGGCTCAACACGTACACCTGTTAAATTTAATTCATTTGTGCATTATTTTGTTTATTTATTGAAACGGAGAATTCATGACATTAATTCAATTATATTTGTGTATATATATAGTATTACATGTTATTTAAATTTATCTATTTATCTATTATAAGTTATTATTAACTTATTTTTATGATTTAGTTTATTCGTTTTAACATTTTTTAATAAACCTATACGGAAAAGGTCAGCTATTTAACTAATCCTTAAAAAAATATTAAAACACTTTCCATGTTTCATTGACTTTATGTCAATGACTACAAAACTACGTTATAAAATAATTATTGAGTAAATTATAAAATTATTAAAACAAAACATGATTAACAGCTATGATTTTTATTGGCTTATGGTATATACGTCATTTTCTATATTTCTTTTTAAAATAAATTAATTTGATAATTTAATTCACCTAATTAACTCCAAACGTCCCAACTAACCCTCCAACAAACAAGCCGACCTTTGTAAATTCACCTCTTTTTTCATTTTTTTTTTACTTTCACCTAATTTAATTAATCCATAATTACTGACCTTCGAAAAAGGAAATGATATTGACTATAATACCCCTCAAAAGCGTTTGTGCTTTGAAGTGAAGATTACCCTTGAAACTTCAAATTAATTACACAAATGTCCCAAAAGACAGTCGCATCAGGGAAGGATTCCAAACTGCAATTAATTAAAATTAGGTGAAGATATCAAATCCGTCCTGTGTTTAACTTTAAATTCGCCGAGAATGTTAGCCATTTTGCATGCTTAAAGTCCACAGACAAAATAAATATAATATTATTTAAAAATACTTTTAATATATACAAAATACAATTCATCGGTATATATTTTTGATTTCTTTTTCTTTACGACAAAAGAGAGAGAATTTCACCGTCACAGCCGACGGCTGACTTTGCGACGGAGCATGGAGATCGTCAACCGGCAGCAGCGGAGCTCCGAAAGGAAGATGTTTGGTCTCTGTCCTTTTTGGCAAACTTCGACGACGACAAACGACTTTTCCTCTTCTTCTTCGACTAGAAATTTCAACCACAATGGAAGCCGCCATTTGGAGACGGTGCCCGTCAAGCGCTCAAAAACCGTCTCTTCCATTGCCAGATCTCTTCTTCCTCCCCGGCGCCGGCTTCGCCTCGATCCTTCTAATAACCTCTACTTCCCTTGTACTAATCCCCGCTTTGCTTAGCCTTTGACTTTGTAGAGCTAAATTTTCTATTTCCTTTTTAATTTGTCAAATTTTATTCTAACTGTAGATGAGCCTGGAACTCAGGCGAGAAGTGCGATCAGGTTGAAGAACACTAGTAAATCTCACGTGGCTTTCAAGGTAAAATTGAATTATTATATCTATTTACTTCTCTTGTCTTTTACGTCAACCTTTACTGTAATTTACTGGATTATTTTCATTTAAAGTCATGATTTGTCAGTGAATTAATACTAATTGTGGTTAAATTCTCGCTGTCCATTAAAATGAGGCTTCTTGCGGCGGTTGTAACGGTTAATTTCTTAAGTTACTATTCTTTACCAGTTAATATCATACCATTTGGTAATTTCGTTGAATCATGTGGTTGCTTATTTATTTAATTAACTATTTTTTTTGTTTATTATTTTTTAGTTTCAAACTACTGCCCCTAAGAGTTGTTTTATGCGTCCACCTGGTGGAATTTTGGCTCCAGGGGAAAGCATTATCGCGACTGGTAATAAAATTTGGCAGCTCGGTTTTGAGATTTTATTATAATAATTTTGTTTGATTTGGTTGGTTGATGTTTTTGTTTTGTCAGTGTTTAAGTTTATAGAGCGTCCAGAGAATAATGAGGTGCAGGTGGATTTAAAGAGTAAGGTTAAATTTAAGATAATGAGTTTGAAGGTAACAGCCGGAGTGGATTACTTGCCTGAGCTTGTAAGTTCTTTAATGTTCTCGCTTGTCATATATTTGGTGTTTTCTCTTAAAGTTCAGTTCAATGGAGGTCCTTGTTCTGTTAGCATTTAATCAGTCTAAGTGAATATTGGATGAATTTCAAATGGAATTTTTGGCTTTTTTTTTTAAGTGGAAATGCCTATTAAATTGATGCTGTAGTTGGTTGTTCTTAATTGGGTAAAACGAAATCTGCTTAAAGTGTTTTTAGCTTGGTAACGATTCTCTATTTTCATTTGGCTGACATGCACGAGGAATTGTGGTTAGAAAACACTACTATAGCAAGTAGTCTGATAAAATTGCCCTTTTCTTCTTTCCATTGTTGGATCAGAGCCTTCAGCCTATTTTGGAAGAAGAGTTTTGTTTAGTTGTGTTATAGCTTTTACAGGTAAGGGCATCATAATATGAGTTTAGTCGTAAATTGCTGCAGGCTAATGTCGTTTTAGTTGCAATTAATTGAATACATAGATTATAAGATAGATCTCATTCATGGTAACTACCAAACAAATTTTATTGCTCCAGTTTTATCTGAAAAGAAATATATTATATGATCATTAGTAGAATGCCATGTCAGTTAGTGTAGGCATGTAAAATCGATCCTTTAAACATGAGATTTTCCATATGGTATTTAAAGTTTCCTGATATTTCTTTCTGTTTAATGCCTAATCTGCTTATTGGTTGAGTTTTTCTATTAGAATTTGATTGTGTACCTTTATTGGATGTTAACTGCTGCTAAACTTAAAATGCTAATGCTGACACAGATTTTTTTTCTTATTGTGCCTTCTGTGGTATAGTTTGACGAACAAAGGGATCAAGTGACTGTAGAAAGAATTTTGCGGGTTGTATTTCTGGATGTTGGTCGGCCTAGCCCTGTAAGTAGCAAATTGTATTGGTATTGTTTTGGTTTCTACACTTAGCTCCTTGTTTTAGGCTTTCAATGGTTTAATTTTTCTTCTTGTTCCGTAAGGCATTGGACAAACTTAAGCGTCAGTTAGCTGAGGCTGAGGCTGCTCTTGAAACACGCAAGAAACCCACCCCTGACACAGGTCCCCGGGTTGTCGGAGAAGGTCTTGTAATTGATGAATGGGTAATTAACTGTCTTATGTCTGCAATAATGCTCCTTTTCCCTTTTCTTCTGTCTTATTTTACTTATATTTAATGGTTTCAGAAGGAGCGAAGAGAAAAATACCTGGCACGTCAGCAAGTTGAAGCGGTGGATTCAACGTGAAGTGTTCTTTGATTTGGCTGTAAGTGCTTTTTTTTCTTCTTTGGTTGAATCCCTCAATTTGCTCATCATTAGAGGAGGGAAGGTGAAAGAGATGAGTTGATGGATCAGTTCATGTAGAGGAGAACCACATGTTCTCATGCCATTTTCAGCTTTATGAACATTGTAAAGGTCAAGGAACCCAACTTTTGGGCTAATGCCATCTTACTTGTAGATAGTGGTTGTTCTTTTTGTCATGGAAATAAATGTAAGGCACAATGCATTTTCATATTTGGTGCACTTTTTGAGGTTGGAGTGGTTATATACATGTTATAGGTGTTTAGCCTCGTTTTTCTGTTGAAATATTTGACTATAGCAATTGAATTCGCTAGGGTTGTATTGTACACTGCTATTGTAGATGAACAAGCTTGAATTTTTCTCTGGTTTGAAGTGATTTATGCATGTTATTCCTTTTTATCCTCGTTTCTGGCAGCATAGGGTTCTCAAGCAGAGACTGAGGATTTCCAAACTCACATATCATAGATTCATAGAGCATGCAAAGGTTGTCTCGTTCATCTTCATGCATGTCATGATGACGCAGGCTGGTTCATGCATCCATGTTCATATTTATGCCCATTCATATCCGTTCTGGTGTAATGTGGGATATGACCGGTAAAAAGTGATGGATTGTTCAGGTTTTTATACTGGTTGAAATCGATAAAAAAAAATTGACCGGTAAAAAGTGGGATAAGATTGGTGAAATAAGTCAATTGCAGTCTATAGAGTTGGCCCCTTGCTTACCTCTTTATACAAGCAATGTCCTCTTTTCATATGGGAAAGGGGCTGCCATTATAGCTTCTCTAACCTTCTTTTCGGCAACCCATCTACCCTTTATTCTTATCTTCTTTTGGATTGAAGAAGATAATTTGGTGATGTACTCTGAACTCCATTATATAATGCCATATTGGTGCTCTGACTCCAAATGTGCATAACAGCATAAGACTATTATCCATTGCTGTATCCCAGCAACAGTGTGTTGCTCCTACCAGAAGTGATTCCCGATTTTGTCTTCGTGAATCAGCGGTGGCCAAAGTGTCCCGATGATATGAGCAAAACCAAGGATTTGGAAGCAATAGGAGACTAATGAATGTGACCAATTGGGCTCAACTTAGGCTTTAATTAAAGCTTAAATAGTAATTACCCTCATTTTCCTTTTCAACAGTTTAAAACTTTTCTTACAAAAGCTTTTCTGTGAAAATCTTGCATATGCAGCAGGTTGCTCTTGATCTAGCTTCTAAAGCTCTCGATTTCTTTGTAGTCACTGAGGTTAGTAGTCCAACAGAATCGTGTGCTTCATAAAGAAGGTAAACGGGGACTCAGCCAAGTTTACATGATTTTCGTAGTTAAATTATGAAGGCCCTTATCCAGGAATTTGATGGAAGATATGGAAGTGAGGGGCAATGATTGTTAGGAAACTGATTTTAGTTCATTTTTGACACACTGCACTGGTTGCTTCATTTATTTTTGCATTGCTAACCTCACTTGAAAGATACAACATATAGCTGTAGATACAAACATTTAAAAAAACAAAACAAAACTGCAGGCTGAGTCAAGGTGAACAATACTTTCGAACCGATCAAGGTCCTCACAAAATGGTATCAGAATGAATGCTAACTCCACGAATCCTCATTTGAGACCTTTTTTCAAAAATCGAAGTCATCTTGATTGGGCTTTGGTGAAGTCAACATAGCTGTATAAAGCCTGAGCCTGTCCTCCCCCAATGAATTACTCCTAGATAATGGCCTCCGAGGTCGAATGAATGACAACGATGTGAGTGTTAACCGGTGCTTATACCGCCTCCAAGCCAACTGAATTGCCACTGCTCCCCATGTACGCCACCCTGGAGAATAATACCGAGCACTCCTCTTGACCTTTTCATTAACAAATGTATAGCGGAAATGTTGCGTAACATATTTGACATCTTTGGCTTCAAGACCGAACGCCTCGGTTGTTTCAAGTGTAATGAGTGTGGAAGACGATGGCGGGAGCCTTTCGATGAAGGGTCTTCGTAAACACCACGATAAGAGCTCATCACCGCTGAAATTTCCGGGGCCTAACATGCAGCAACTTTTCACACCATCTCTAAGAATTTGGCTGCTTTGGAGATGTCCCCTTACCACAAAGAGCATTCTTTGTACTGGGTCACCTTCTCTAGTTATCTACAATATCCACGTCAACGAGGGCATAATAATTGAATTCCAGTTTTTTATTTTTCTTAAAATATTCGAATTCGATATATATAAAATATATTCAACCCACCACGATTGGAAATGATACTTACAATTTCTCCTTTGGTGAAAATTAAAGATTTGACACGATCGCAAATATTTTCTAGGACCAAATCATCCATGTGTTGAAACAATGGTACCTGAAAGAAACTTATAATTATGTTAGAAACCAACAAATTCACAACTTTTTTCTATGGCATATATTTGAAAGATATAGAAGGTCAAATTCTATCATTGGTCCCTAGACTATGCATAAACTATAGGTTTAATCCATGTACTGTAATTTGGTCAAATTTAGTTCATATACTTTCCAGATTTTGAAATTCCAGTTCTAGCCCAAATAATACAAATATAATATGATTAAACTATAGCGACTTAAAATGATCAAATTTAAGAACATAAAGTAAATCTACAACTTACATTTAATACATGAATTAATAGAATTACTTTTAACATGTTTTGCTGCTATTGTTTGGGTTAATACCGAAATTTTAAAATTTAAGAAGTATATAATAAACTAAAATTGACCCATATAAAATATATAAAGAAATATAAATAGTTAATTGCACATTATGTTCTTAAACTATAATTCTCATTCTGAATTAGCCCCTGAACTTTAAAGCATTCTATAGGCATCCCAAAACTATAACCCTCATTCTAAATTGGACCATAAAATTTAAAACATTCTATATCAATCCTTAAACTATTAGTATTAGTCCAATTTAGAAATAGGTTAGAGTTTGAGGATTAATGTAGAATATTTTACTATTCAAGAACCATTTAAAAATAATAGTCATAGTTTGATGATATCATGTGCAATTATCTCTTGTTTATATTTTACAGGTTTTTTTTTTGAGAAAAAACTTTTTATTCTTTTTCTCGTTTAACTATTTCTTTAGAACTCAGATATAAGGCTATAGATTAGAGGTGGTACTTTAATGTTCTTTTTGCATTGTTGTGTAATTAATTACCTGTCTAACTAAATCCAGGCAGAGGTGGTACTTGATATCTCTCCGGAGCCCCTCGGGTAAGTTTCGGATCATCTCGCATTCATCGACACCACGCATTGCAGCCCACCGTTGCCGCTCGTAGTTGCGGACTCTTTGCCGGAATCCGGAAGGTAAGTGCCTCTTCCTCATCCACCACTCTATATTCCTCATCTTCAACTGCATCGCTTGTTTCTTGGACGTAGTTGCATGCAGAAACACCTTCACAAAACCAAGTCATACCCACCCAAAACTAAAATAATCAAAACACAACAATATTTAATTTTATTTTTTTAATCACAATATTAAAAGAAAAAGTAGTTCGAAGCAGCAAAACAAATTGATTTAGAACTGAAACGACACGATATGTCAGACATTTTTGTAACATGATATGTCATCTGTCTGAACATGAAAATTATCAAAGATTTGTTGGAATAAAATATGGACAGATAGAATCGTTCGATGGGTTCCACTGGACCCTATGATTGGGATTTTGGTAAAAGAAAGAAAAAACCCAGCACTTTTCTCTAGGCATTAGTGTTACTTCAACCGCAATATCAGTCACTGTTATTTTTTTATGGGACAAAATCAATCACTGTTGGTGTAAACTTTTTCTCTTTGGATGAGCCATAAATTTTATCACTCAACTTTGATCATATTTCTGTGTTAGTCACTACACTTCTGAATTGTTTCAGATTTTCTTTGATTTCACTATGATGGAATATCTACTTCTAAATTCTAACAATGGGATAGCGGAGAAGAATGAGACTAGTTATACATCATGATTTTACGTTGATCGATTAGTTGAAATTGTTGATTGGAATCCTTTTCATTTTGGATTGAGTTTCACGAGTTTTAAAGAAATTTTAAAAAAATCTATATTGGTAGAGTGGTATAGGACGACGAGACAAGTCCATCAATATTTTATGTGGTCAGAAAAGATACTAAAGAACGGTGATTCTAATATTGACATGACACAAGAATGAAACTTTATGAGATTCATCTTTGTTGGAAAGAAAAAGAAAGAAAAGAAAATAATGTAACCAAAAGGTGGCTTCCATTCATGTTAGCAAAATGCAGTCCATATCAATAAAAAAAAATAGCCACGTCATCCTATTATTTCTGATGTAACACTTCAGTGACAAAAAAATGAAATAATTTAAAAGTTTGATGATTAAATTGAAAATGTTTGAAGTCTAGTGACTAAAATAAGAATATGGTAAAAGTTGAATTTTGTTTACTTTTATTTTCTTTTAGTATTCATGACTTTTATGTTTGGAATTAATTTTGATGATATGTAATGTTATACATTGTGAGTAGTATATTAATGATAACTCGTAAATACCTTAATGTTTCCGATCAACATTGTGACGAGAAGAAGTCCACTGGTAAGAACAATGATGTTGAAAACAACTTCTAGCCATTCGGTTGTGCTCTCCAAGTTCCCAAACGTGCTGATAATTTACACACAAACAAAAAGGGTAAGAATAAAGAAAAATATTAATGTATAGTCCGGGATCGTTTTATTATTCAAAAAGAAGAAGAAAAAAACCTGAGAGTCATGAGACCCCAAAAAATGGGGAAAAGTATTTTCTCGAGACGACTGTCGTTGGTGACGAGTTGAACAGTCCATTTATAAGCTCCGTAATCATAGTTATCAGGGCTTTCAATGCATCTGCTTCTCACTTGCTTGTTTTCTGCCCAAAGCAGTCTTGCTTCATCCCTCAACATGCTTCTTGTTCCATAGTAAATTGGATCCTTGCAAGCCAATAGTCTCAGGTCACAATTCTCTATTCCTCTACACTGCTCTTTCAGGCACTTGCCCGATCTTTGAATCCCTAGCAAGTACCAACACGCTCCCGCTGCCTGCTCCCGCACCCCAGTCCATCCCAATAAAATTAAATAAATAGCAAATGTTGACTACTAAAGACTTTTATCCACCCACAATTTGATGGCTCAAACGCCACACTATTTGCAACATTTACCTTGACATTTTTCCTCCCACGTGAATCATGAATTGACAAATAGGAAATTAAAAAAGTACTAATTACCATCTGATTTTTCACCTTTAGGGGACATTTCCATTCCATCTTTTAGAATAAGCCAAAAACTAATTTGGGATTGCTAAAAAGTCTTCACTACTAAGCACTTTTATCCACCCACAAATTGTTTACACTTCAAAACTTTATCAAAGTAGAAAACAAAAATCAATTTTGTTTCAAACTATTCATCTAAAATGTTAATTGTTATACACACCATACTATATAATGATCATAAACGTTAGTAATAATTTATCTCTTCTAGTTTGGATAAAAATTATTTATTCCTTTCTTTTTACATAAAAAGTTACTGAAAATGTTGATGTAAGTGTCTAAGAGAATAAAGGAAATGTCTTATTTTATTAAAGACAAATTATAGTCTTATCCAAAGTTATAACTCTAACATAGGGTTTATAATGTTGAAATTGATGAATTTAAATAAATTTTATTAACATATGTTTATTATGAATATTATATTAACTTATATATTTTTTTGAAAATATTATTTGCACAATCACTTTAAGGATTAGTATTTACATTTTCTTTTCCATACTTTTTGTAAGGAGTAATTGTTATTGAGATTATCAGTTACGGATTTAAGTATATATAGGTGGACACATATTCATTTTGAAATTCGATTTTTCTATTAATTATTTGTTTTAGACATTTAGTGATAGTGTCTGTCATACAAAGATTTTGTATTGTTAATATTTGTGTATATACCTTTAAAAATATTTTTAGATCCGTTATGGGAGATTACTATAAAAAAATTAAAAAATAAAATAAAAGAAGTACTTACATGTGAAGCAACGAAATAAGCGATCAAATTGAGAGCGATCCCCCACCAAACGGTACCGAAGACGTAGCCGGAAAGGCTTTGCATGCGGCGTAAGAGGCAAACGGCATGGTAGATCTTGGGAAGGTATTGGAAGAGGAATATTATCAACAACACCGTCATTACTAGGGTTACCGATCCTCTTTCCAATAAAGATGGAATTGCCACCCACAGTACAATCTTCATTTCATTGCAATTTCACGTCAGTCCATAATTCATATGAAAATGGAAAAATGATGAAATCCATGGAGTATTTTCCATTCTACTTTTCCTAAAATTATATAAAACGACATGGTTTCTTCACATGTTTGTTACGCTGACCACTACATGCAACAGACTCACTAATGGCATGCACTTGTCATCTGTCTCTTATATTAATTAATTAATGAAACTGAGTAATGATGTACCTGAGGTAGAGGTAGAATTACGAAGAGATCAAAGAAGAATCCCTTCCTTGCTTTCAGGTATTTAAATGCCACGTGGCGCGCATTCCCACCACGGGGTCGGTTGCTTCTTTCTCCCCTTTCCTCTTCACTCTCGCTTCCGCTTCTCTTATCGTACGACGATCTCTTAACCATTTTGAGCTGCAGGCACATGTTCCACACGTGCAACGCGTCGGTCATGCACCGGAGCGCGGTCACAGTGATGGCGAACCACCCGTCAACGAAGAGGCACACGCACGTGTCACTAATCGAGAGGGCGTAGAAAAACAACGGGTCCACGAAGAGGCCCGTTGCGCAGACAAGGAGGAAAACCCTATTCCATTCCTGAACCCATTTAGCTCTAGGGTCCAAAACTTGCCCTAGATACCAAGTCTTACGGCGACGGCCGCCACCACCACACATGAAAAACGACCCCCGACTATCCCTCGAACTCTCTTCTTCTTCTTCTTCTTCAACCTCATCTTCCAACAATTCTTCTTCTTCCGTATCTCCTAACTTCTCTTCTTCTTTGTCGTCATCGTCGTCGGTAAAATATTGTGTGTGAGCGCCTCGTGAAAAGGAAATTTCGCGTTCGCTCGCCATCGAGATTCGATAATTCAAAAAAAAAGAAAGGTTTATGGAACTAGTGAGAGATATTCATTTGATGTTTCGAAGGAGGAGGGAATATAAGCAAAGATGGCGAAGAAATCATTTGACCGGAGAGCAGTGAAAGTAAGGGGAAGTAGGACAATAATATATGTAGTGACAAATTTATTGAATGTACATTAATGCCCTTCAAATAGTTTAAATTTTGGAATATACAATAATATATGTGAGAAATATTAAAGTTGAAACTTAAATATGATTATTTCTTAATATTTTAAAATAATTAAATTTATAATTTGAATTATGATAACTTTGATTATTGGAGCTGTGGCAATGCTCTAGTCCTTTACAATTTTTGCACTTGTTTGGGTCCACGTGCAATTCATTAATTTTTCAACTAACTAGCATAGATGGGAATATGCGTTGAAGAAATAGTTTGATCCGTTTTTATCATCACATTTTTTAAATTGCTTATTTAATATATTATTAATGAAATTTTTTAAATTTCAACAAATCAGATTATTGATTGGATGTAGATATAGAATTTTCTTAAATTGAGTTAGGTCTTATTTGATAAATTGATAGATTAAATTATAGGCGAAATAAGAATTGTTTAATTAAAAATTTAGAGGGTTTAAAATAAACTTTTATCATTTTATAAATTAAAAGATTCACAAATCTTAAAGGTATTAAACTATAAATTTAATTTTATGTAGGACCAAAATGCAATATGTCTATTTAGAGTTTATAAAATCTAAATGGACCATGACCCAAGTTTTTAAAGTAATTGCCACGTGATTTGAGTTTAGAACAATTTGACAGTGTCTTTAGCTTAAAATATCTTTGGAGAAGCATTGTTTTATGCTTATGATTTGTATGTGTGTGATGTGGGTAACTATCACATGAAGCTTCTTAATTTTGTCTAAATTCTCTTCTTAATAGCTTTGATTGAAATCTATTCTGCTAAAACCATTCACCAGAGCCCACGCAAAAGCACAAAAGGACAAGGAAATGCCTGACAACAAAAACAAACAGAATATAAAAATAAAGTAGTGAAAGTGTAAAGGGAATGTTGAGAGCTTAGTTTTTGTTTAATTATTGTCACTTCTAAATCTTCCTTTCAAAATGTTCCCCATTGTAATTTCAAGTACAAACCAGAGGGGGCACAATTTATTTTTTTAAAGTTGAGACCCCGATTTAGTAATTATAAATGATAATGATATATGAGAAATAAATAATATAATCGTGGTACGAATATTTATATTAAAAACTAAAATATACTTTTCATTACGAGATTAAATTAAAATTAAATATTGAAAGAAATTATAAATCAATTAAGTATTTAAATAAAAAGTTATAGCCCCTTTTTTATTATAATATTTAGGAAGATACATATTCAAGTATGTTTAAGTACGTAATATCATCTAATTATGAATTTGAGGATATTTGAATAATTTTAAAATTTATAATTTTTTTTTATAAAAAAACTTAAATTATTATTGGATAAAAATTTTGAGAGAGAGGATCTCGCCCTATAAAATAAAACATGAAAAAAATTAAAACATAATATATAAGATTCGAGACCAAAATTTTAATACAATTTAATTAGAACAACAAAATATTAATTGAAAAGGGTTTATTTTAAAATTATGTAAGGGGAATCTAAATATTTAATATATTTTATCAACATTTAGTGTCCTCATACTGTCTGTCAAACATATATTATAGGACTCGAGTATCAAGATATGGGCATTGTATAGCATAAGTATTGCCATACCTAAATTGTTGTCCTCACAACATTACATGTAGCTTTCAACATTTAATGCAAAATTTGATTTTTTTTTCCTTTTTTATTTTTCTCTTGAGAAATTAAAAAAAAATTTGAATAAAATGATAATTCCGGAGCAGCTTCCTCGTTCTTTCCTTTTTCTTTCTCAAGTCTTAATTGATTATTTACCATCATAGTGCTCAAGAGAAAATGTTGATAAACGTCTCTTCATAATAAACGAATATAATAAAAAACTATCTATATACAATAATACATTTAGATTTCGTATCAAGTGAGTTCAATAGAATTAAAATGAGATCAAGTGGATTCAAATACATTTAATTTTTTCTCTTCCCAATTTTTTTTTACAAGATTTTCTGGACTCAAGTGGAATCAATTTGCTACAGTAAAATAAACATCTATCCGCCCTCGATTATATATCAATTATTAATTAATCTAACGAGATGACATATTATAAATAAAATTAATCTTATGCTATAAATAAAATAAATTCGGTTGAAAAAATTATCTTCACAATAAACCTCTTAAATTCAAATTTCATATTGATCATATCTACACCATAAGTGAAGTAGTTGTCAATATTAACAATTTAAAAGGAGGAGGACCAAATCAAGTCAAATTGAAGCACACATACTATATTTCAATTTAAAGAATTCCATATTTGTGCCCAACTATTACAATTTTTTATATTATATATAAATTGTCCATAATTTTTAAGCTCCTACCATGCTACAATTATACTTCATCACATTTGGACCTATAACCTTCAAGATATGTTAACTAAGCTAAGGTTTAATTAACACGAAATTTAAAGTTTTACCAATTGTACAATTTAAAACTTGGACAATATAAAAAAAATTTATTTTTTAATAATTACTTACATTTGACATATTGATCAACTAGTTCGGATAAGATACTATTGAGATATATTACGAGAACGATTCTTCCAATTTAACTTTTTGCATTCACAATGTTAAAATTTGAATCTTAACTATTATTTAAGAAATTTAAAGACTCATTTTGTCATACTAATGAGAAATCAGTACATATAAAATTCTAAGTTAATTAATATGTAACCAAACTAAAGAGTTAAAATACTGAACTTATCTCTAATCATGTAAGCAAACTAACAATTAAAGAGTTAAAGAAACAATAATCCAATGAAAGAAGGGAAATAGTTTATAGAGAAACAAACAATTGATAAATAATTTTACTTGGAAGGATAATTTAAGGGCGAAGGAAGTAAATTAGAAGAAAAAGACATAAGAAACAGGAGAGAGAGTGTTCGGTACCATTCACAAAAAAGTCCAAAAATCGCAGTTTCCATGCAACTTCGTATATTTTGTTGGTTTCTTCATTCAATTAAATTATATCGATATCCAAAAGGCTTTTTTCTCCCTCCAAAGGCACTTCATTTTCATATCTTCCCTACCATTTTTTTCAATGATTATTAGCAAAGAAACAACAACAATAATAATGAACCCTAAATATATTATCCTTATTAATATATATACATTATATTCTCTGTTATATATTTTGTTGAAAACTACATACGTGAGTTTATTGGATTATAGTATGGACTTTAGTGATCATTTCAGAAAAAAATGATTATTTAAATTAAATAAGAAAAAAAGGAAAGTTATTGATTTAATCCTCTAGCTAGGTAGTTAAGTTATTGCAAGTAATCATTTTCGTTTATGATTTTTCTTTTTTTTTTCAAGTCGAGGGATTAAAATATAATATGAGGATAGGATAGGGGCTTCTATGATAATTTTTCTGTATAATTTTAAGAAATTAAGAATATTTCTTGCTTAATATAAAGATTGAATCATGAATAATTTAAATATTATAATTTACATCAAAGATATCAATATTTTTCTCTCTTAATACTTCCAGAACTTGATGTTCATGAGAGTCACTCAGAGCAGCAAAATGTACATAGAAATTACTGTTGATGAAGAGACAATATATATATTCAAAATAAAATATTGTTCAAGAAAAAAAAATACAATTTAGGGTCTAATGAATTTTTTATGGAATGATTGTACTGATTTTTCCTTAGTATCTAAAATTTCAATAATAAAAATAAGAGAATTGGAATTTTAATTCAAGTTCGCAAACTTTGAAAAAAAAATAGGTGTGCATGTCATCATGTTTTAACTAGATTGTAAATTATAAATTAAAAGATATTGTGTATTTAAATAAAATAAATATATATTTTTATTGTATATTATAAAATAATGATATTAATTAAATTAATATCTAATCACCTAAATTAAACTATGTTAAAATAAGTATTTTGAATGGGATAAGGAGCATTTGTGCAAATGTTGGCTATATAGCTGACTAAGGGTCACAAACCATTAATCCTCCCATGTGAATTCCTTCACGCTCCACTTGCATGATTGAAGCAAAGATTCTAACTCTTATCTCTTTCGGATAAGAAAATTATATATATATATTATGAAATTTCTAATTATTAATATGTATTTATGATCTTATTTTTTATCGATTAATAATTTAATTTCTTCAAGTTCGTTTGAAATATTATAATAATTTAAGTCAATGATCTATTTATTCAATAGGAAAATATATTTACTTCAACATATTTAAAATTATAATAATGACATACTGACATGTCAAGCAACATCAGTAATAAAGGAAGTGTTGTGTTTCCTATAAATCTCGAGTTCGAACAACTCTGTCAACAGAATGTATAAACATTTTCAGTTGAACTTATCAGCATCACTAAAATCTTCGAAGTGACACAAACATATCATGCACTTAGTTGCACGACCTGTCGAGCATCAAAATCTCTTATGATCTTCAAAATATTCGCAAGTGCGAATGCTTTCGTCTCCTCTTCAAAGCATTAAAAACTTCGAGACAAAAAAAATTTGACTTGTCGTTCCTCAATGTCTTCTGGGGAGGTTTATTTATTGTCGTAAGTATATTGTTATCCGTTACTAAAATCTCTGCAATCACTTCAGTTTCGACCAATTTTTTATTGTGACCAATTGATTCGGGGCAGAAAATGCGCTATAGTATGAATAGCTACATAATGCAAACCTAATCAACTAGCACATGTTTCCTTCTTGGATTTTCTTTTCCAAGTTTCATTGTACAATTGAGTTACTAGGTATAGTCAAACCCTAACCATGGGCACATAAAAAACTTAGTATATTTTGAAAGAAAGGGACCCATCACGTGAAGAGATGTCGAGGACCACTTAACATTAGACCTTGAATCGAGTTTTTCATTTGTTGCTACGTACGTTTAGGATATTTGTAAAATTTGGCCTTTTCTCACTCCGAATTTTCCCGGAAAATGCAGTGGGAAAATCGCTTTCAAAAATTTTGATGTCACTCTCGCATTTTCCCTCATTAAATCTTTGAAATGGAAGCTTATCAATTAGATCCGTACGACCAGCCATATAAAGAAGACAAATCTCACAAGGCATCTCCAAATATTTAATGAAGATTTTTCATAAAAAAATTATAATTTTTGATCTACAATGAGAAGAATGACAATTTATTATGGTTGTAAGTGTGGTGATTGAAGGTAAAGGAGAAAGGTTTGCGGTTTATTCATTATGGAGTGGACGGAATGCTGACTATGCACCGAAAGTGTGCATAATAAATGCAACTTTCGGTGCTGCTTAAAAAAAAGGGGCAGCAGCTATTGCTGAATTTTGAAAATGGTATAACCTCAATTTTAACCATTGTAATTTAGGATATTTACAAATTAGTCCTTAAAGCTTCAACTATAAATACCCTAGCTCATTTAGCTTCAAAACCATCCCAAAACATTCTAGCTTTCTTCCAATACTAGAGAGAATTTAGAGTTTCTTGAGAATTGTTTTCTCATTTTTATCAAGAGAGAATTATCATTGTTTTCTCCTTGGTAGATCGAGAGAGGTTGTAATTCCTATTTTCTCATAGTGAAATTCTTCTACCGTTGCCCGTGGTTTTTACCCTATATTATTTAGGGGGTTTTCACGTAAATTTTGTGTCTTCTTTATCTTTATTTTTATTTTCTCAAATTATCAGTTGCGATTTTGCTCTATCCGATAGCCGTCTTCCGCAACAATTGGTATCCGAGCTAGATTAGAGTGTGTAATGTCTGCTTATTGTCTTTGTGGTTGCCACCAAAAGATGGATCCTCCAACATAAGAAAATAAGAAGTTATTACCCATTCTTTGAAGGTTCCAAAGAACTATTCATGATAGTGAAATAGTGGGAGCTATCCGTAAAAGAAGCTATGGCAACGAAATTTGATATTGAAAAATTCAATGGGAGAAATTTCTCATTGTGAAAATTGAAGATGAAGGCTATCCTGAGGAAAGACGGTTGTCTAGCAACTATCAGTGAAAGACCAGTGGATTTCACATATGACAACAAATGGATCGAAATGGACGGGAATGCTATGACAAACTTTCATCTAGCATTAGCAGATGAAGTATTGTCAAGCATCGAGGAAAAGAAGACAACTAAGAAGATATGGGATCATCTCACCAAATTGTACGAGGCCACATCGTTGCACAATAAAATTTTCCTTAAGAGAAAATTGTACACTCTGCGTATGCCAGAATCTACTTCAGTGACGGAGCACTTAAATACACTGAACACTTTATTTTCTCAGCTTACATCCTTAAGCTGTAAAATAAGAGAACAAGAACGTGCTGAACTTCTACTTCAAAGTCTACCGGATTCGTATGATCAACTCATCATCAACTTGACAAATATTAATGTCACCAGTCTAGTCTTCGATGACATTCCAGCTGCTGTTCTACAAGAAGAAAATCGGTGCAAGAACAAGGAAGACAAACAAGTAAATCTGCAACAAGCAGAAGCATTGACAACGATGACAATGATGAGATGGAGATCAACAGAACGTGACCAAAGCAGCAGTCACAAATATGGTATATCGAAGTCGAGGAGCAAGAAGAATTTAAAGTGTTACAATTGTGGAAAGAATGGTCATTTGAAGAAGGATTGTTGGAGTCTAAATAAAAACTCCAATCCACAAGGCAAAACCGCAAACACTTCAGATGATGGAGATGCTCTATGTTGTGAAGAGTCAACCACCGTAGAAGGTAGAAAAAGATATGCAGATATATGACTCATTGATTCGGGAGCAACATATCACATGACCTCAAGAAGAGAATGGTTCCATCATTATGAACCTGTCTCAGGAGGATCTGTGTATAGTTGCAATGATCATGCCTTAGAGATCGTTGGCGTGGGAACCATCAAATTGAAAATGTATGATGGAACAATCAAAGTTGTTCGAGATGTGCGGCACGTGAAGGGCCTGAAGAAAAATTTATTATCCTACGGATTGTTGGATAATAATGCAAGAAAGATTGAGACACGGAAATGAATCATGAAGGTGTTTCGTGGAGCGTTTGTGGTACTGAAAGGCAAAAAGATAGCAGCAAACTTGTACATGCTGAAGGGAGAGACTTTGCTATAAGTAGAAGCCTCTGTTGCCTCATATAGTTCAGATTCTGCAATGTTATGGCATCAGAAACTTGGACACATGTCAGAACAAGGAATAAAAGTTCTTGTGGAGCAAAAGCTACTTCCAGGCTTAACAAAGGTATCACTTACTTTGTGTGAGCATTGCATAACAAGTAAGTAGCACCGGTTGAAATTCAACACGTCAAATTCTAGAGGCAAAACTGTTCTAGAATTGGTTCATTCTGACGTATGGCAAGCACCAGTTACATCCCTAGGTGGAGCAAAATACTTTGTCTCATTTATCGATGACTACTCTAGGAGATGTTGGGTGTATCCTATTAAGAAGAAGTCAGATGTGTTTTTAACTTTCAAAATCTTACAAGCGAAGAATTTGATGACTTTTGCAGGAAAGAAGGCATCAAAAAACAGTTCACAGTGGTAAACACTCCTCAACAAAATGGAGTGGCAGAGCGGATGAACATAAACTTGTTAGAAAGAACAAGAGCAATGTTGAGGGATGCATGCCTAGAAAAATCATTCTGGGCAGAAGCAGTCAATACCGCTTGTTATTTGGTGAATCGAGCTCCATCAACTGCAATAGAGCTGAAGACACCAATGGAGATGTGGACTAGTAAACCAGCTGATTATTCAAACCTCCATATATTTGGAAGTATTGTGTACGTGATGTACAACTCCCAAGAAATCTCAAAGCTGGATCCAAAATCCAGGAAATACAAATTCTTGGGGTATGCTGATAGAGTCAAGGGGTATTGCTTGTGGGATCCCACTGCCCGTAAAGTGATCATCAGCAGGGATGTTATCTTTGTAGAGGATAAACTACAAAGAAAAGAAGACGATGATAGCACTAAAAAGTAAGAGACTACACATATAAATGTGGAAAAGGAGTTTGAACAAGGAGATTCTTCTGAAGCAGAACCAACACATGATGAACAAGAACCAGAGAGTTCTGAAGCACCAACAACTCATCAATCAGATCGTGTGAGAAGACGTCCCAATTGGCACTCAGATTATGTTATAGAAGGTAATATTGCATACTGCCTTTTAACAGATGACGGTGAGCCATCAACATAGCAAGAGGCAATAAACAACTCAGATGCTTCATTGTGGGTGATGGCGATGCAAGAAGAAATTGAAGCCCTTCATAAAAATAATACATGGGACCTTATGCCACTACCACAAGGAAGGAAGCCAATTGGTAACAAATAGGTCTTCAAAATCAAGCGAAATGGTGACGATCAAGTTGAGAGGTATCGTGCAAGACTGGTGGTCAAAGGATATGCTCAAAAAGAAGGTATTGATTTCAATGAAATATTTTCTCCTGTGGTTCGACTAACAATAGTTCGAGTAGTTTTGGCAATGTGTGCTACATTAAACTTACATCTAGAGCAGCTAGATGTTAAAACAACTTTTCTTCATGGAAATCTTGAAGAAGAGATTTATATGCTCCAGCCTGAAGGTTTTGAAGAAAAAGAAAAGAAGAACTTGGTTTGCAGGTTGAACAAATCTCTGTACGGTCTAAAGCAGGCGCCGAGGTGTTGGTATAAGAGATTTGATTACTTCATTATGTGCCTTGGATACAACATACTTAATGCAGACCCTTGTGCTTATTTCAAGAGGTCTGGTGATAACGATTTTGTTATATTGTTGTTGTATGTGGATGACATATTGGTTGCAGGACCCAACAAAGATCATATTGAAGAATTGAAGGCACAACTGGCTAGGGAATTTGAAATGAAGGACTTGGGATCAGCAAACAAGATTCTAGGGATGCAAATTCATCGAGACAGAAGTAATAGGAAGATTTGGCTTTCACAAAAGAATTACTTGAAGATGATCTTGTCACGATTCAGCATGCAAGATTGTAAGCCAATTTCTACCCCTTTTCCTATTAACTTCAAATTATCCTCCAGTATGAGTCCTAGCAGTGAAGAAGAGAGGATGGAGATGTCTCGAGTACCGTATGCATCAGCAGTGGGAAGTTTAATGTTCGCTATGATATGCACAAGACCAGACATTGCACAAGAAGTGTGAGTGGTTAGTCAGTACATGGAGAATTCAGGCAAAGAGCATTGGAATACAGTAAAGAGGATCCTGAGATACATCAAAGGGACCTCAAATGTTGCATTATGTTACAGAGGATCAAATTTACTTATCAATGTGTATGTTGATTCTGACTATGCATGCGATTTGGATAAAAGCAAATCTATTACAGGATATGTGTTTAAAGTTGCTGGTGGAGCTGTAAGCTGGGTTTCAAAATTGCAGTCAGTTGTGGCTACATCCACAACAGAAGCAGAATATGTAGCAGCTACACAAGCCAGTAAAGAAGCAATTTGGTTGAAGATGTTATTGGAGGAGCTTGGGCACAATCAAGAGTATGTCTCTTTGTTTTGTGACAGTCAAAGCACCTTGCATCTAGCAAGGAATCCAGCATTTCATTCAAGGACAAAACACATACGAGTTCAATACCATTTCATTCGTGAAAAGGTCGAAGAAGGGACGATACATATGCAGAAGATCCATACCAAAGACAATATAGCAGATTTCATGACGAAGGCGATCAATGCTGATAAATTTACCTGGTGTCGATCCTCTTGTGGCCTGTTAGAGACGTAAGCAACATGATGGTACAAGGTAGAAAGAATGGTGTGAAGATATGATTGTTTCAATCAAATCTTCAAGTGGGAGATTGTTGACTATGCACCAAAAGTGTACATAATAAATGCAACTTTTGGTGCTGTTTGAAAAAAAAAGGGCAGCAGCTATTGCTGAATTTTGGAAATGGTAGAACCTCAATTTTAGCCATTGTAATTTAGGGTATTTACAAATTAGTCCTTAAAGCTTCAACTATAAATACCCTAGCTCATTTAGCTTCAAAACCATCCCAAAGCATTCTAGCTTTCTTCCAATACTAGAGAGAATTTAGAGAGTTTATTGAGAATTGTTTTCTCCTTTTTATCAAGAGAGAATTATCATTGTTTTCTCCTTGGTAGATCGAGAGAGGTTGTAATTCTTATTTTCTCATAGTGAAATTCTTCTACCGTTGCCCGTGGTTTTTACCCTATATTATTTAGGGGGTTTTCACGTAAATTTTGTGTCTACTTTATCTTCATTTTTATTTTCTCAAATTATCAGTTGCGATTTTGCTCTATCCGATAGCCGTCTTCCGCAACACGGAAAGCCGCTTAGTCTTGTTTTATGATTGTTTATGACTTTTATCTCTTTCTATTCTTCTTTGTATACTTGTCTCTTTATGATATATCTTAGAACTTTCCCCGGCCCTAAGCTTAGAATGTAGGACGGTGATGTTATGTTATAGGTTGGAGGCTCAATGCCTTATTATTAAGGTTTATTCTTCTTGTCGTGTCTAACAATACTCTTATTTGTTGTTCTCATGTCTAGTCGTTCCGGTGAAGCTTAGGTAAGGCACAACACCTTGTCCCCCACAGTGTATGGAGTGCTACAAAGTGGTACGTCCAAGGATGATGTTTGTTAAAGAAGAAGAGGAGATTATATTGCATTTGTACCTTTGTTTTTAATGTGTGTATTTGATGATTCATCTCTTTTGATTTGAGTAGAGAGTTATGAGTTCTATATCCTTTTCATGAAGTAAATTGTTTCAACTTTCGTTGAACGGGTGAAGACATCTCTACAGAATTCTTAAGAGGCATCCTTGCAAAGTATTCTTAGCACCGATCTAGTGGTGGACGAGCCACGGGGACATCTCGTGTTTATCCAAATTGAGGCATCTCGACGCTCTAACAAAGGAATATTGATTATTGAGTTGTCTCAATACTCTAGCTAATAAACAAATATATAGTAATTTACTCTGTCAGATTTGAGTGAAGAGTCGTGATTCATTCTTTCTAATTTTTATGGCAAGTCATATATAGTCCAACTCTTTCTGATTTGAAAGGAGAGCCAATAAAATATTTATTCCCATGCTCCACGACAGAGATTCCAACTAAGGAGTCTTCTCATGATATACGAGTAGAGACTCCGACTAAAAGGTTTTCCTCACTATATACGAGCAAAAGCATCTCAAATTGAGGTATCCCAAAGTATCCTTAGGACCGATCTAGCAGTGGGGAGACTGGAATATCTCACACTATTCAGGGAGTAGTCTTCCGACAAAGGAATTTATGACACTATGATAAACGGTTCTTCTTAAAATGATTACGCAATTCATCCTGTTTGACTTGGATTGAAAACTGCAAGTAAAATGATTCACATAGAATTTATCTCTACAGGGATCTTCGATGTTTATCATTTATATTTCTGATTTAGACACAAAAACATTAAAATAATTGTAAGTAAAATGTTTATCATTTATATACCTCATTGTAACTCGGTGGTTCACTTCTAATTTAGACAGAAAACAAAGTCCTGCTTTGTTACTTTAAGACACTTCTATATCATTTTGTTGTTGTTTATATGAGTTCTTTTTCATCTCTATTTACGTAGGGCGGAGTTCGATTGATCTAGTACTATTGTATAAATTATTGTTATCGAAACTCGAAAGAAATCTTTACATTGGACTTTCTTTTGCTAAGTGTTCATAGACTTTCCACACGTCTAAACACATGTACATTGGAGAGGTCCTTTCCCCTTATAGCCTAGGTGCGCTCCTCCAGAAATTAAAGATTATTATTATATTATCATCTCTATATTACATCATATTATTTCAAGTGGGTTGTTCCGGATAATAAAAGAGTAAGCATTAGTACATTACACATCAAACATCTTGGTAGCTCCTTTAGCCACGATCCTAATGACTCCTAAATCACCTATATGATATGTTGTATTCGAAGTGTCTGGATAAGTCGTATATGCATATTATCATATTTCGTATGATATTTTTAACTTGATTCAATCTTAAATCAGGTTAGAGATAACGCATCAATCGACCAAAGAATATACTAAATCGATTTTGAACTATCACATGATACAACCCTAATGCATATTATCATCTTCCAAGTTTTTATTGGAATCCATCTATTCATGGAAGAAAATCAGATATGGTATTACAAGCTATATGATGCAACCCTAATCAACTATCACATGCTTTCTTCTTGAATTCTTCTCTGAGTTACTAGCTATAGCCAAACCCTAACCATGGGTGCGGCAAAAAATACTTGGTATATTTTGAAAAAAAGGGCCCCCTAAAAACATGTGAAGAGATCTCGAGGACCAGTTAACATTAAACCTTGAATTGGAGTTTTTCATATGTAGGTACGTACGTACCGGATATTCGCACAATTTGGCTTTTTCTCACCCCCGAAATTTCCCGGAAAATGCAATGGGAAAATCGCTTTCAAAAGTTTTGGTGCCACTCTCTCATTTTCCCTCTAAATGAAAGCTTGTCAATTAGATCCGTACGAAGTTTTCCAACCATATAAAGAAGACAAATCCCACAAGGCATCTCCAAATATTATAAGCATCCAATGATACAATAAGTTAATATAGTTTTGTTTTCTTTCTTTTATATATATTCACAAATGTCCAAACACGGGTCATGTCTGTACTTTCAGAATCGACTTTGTAGCACGGTAAATGGTCGTACTATCAGTTTCTATTACATTAATTTATAGGTTTAATTAGGGTTTCCGTCGATAACATTATCGTACCATGTTTGGAATGATTTTTTCGGCAAAGCACATGCCATGCTATTATAAGAAGGGCTAGTCAAAACCTATGATAATTGATACTCTAATTTAAGATGGGGGGGGGGGAATAAAGTAATGAGATTCAAGACTAATTAATTAACTGCAGATGATTAAGATTTGACTTAAAGTTGGCAAGGCTACATTACATTTTGGCTATTCTTTTTGTCGGTTCTGATTATTTTCATGAGATGAGGATTAGTTATCATTTTCTAGACTTGTTATGTTCGTATTATATAGGTTAAATTCATGGACCAAAAGCGTTCAAATTATTTAACATTAAAAGAATAATAGTTTATTAATTATTTAAATATAAAAAAATATATTATAATTTAATTTAATTTATATTTAAATTGATATACATCTAAAATATTGTTAAATAAAAAATTTAAAACCTTTTAATTTCGGTACAATTTTATCCCTATGAAAAGTTCTGAATGCCACTCGATTGCCTCTTATGTTTATTATTTTATTTAGATTTTAAATTGCAAAGATCTTCACATCTTTTGTTTCATATATGCTTTTAAAGTTTCAAGGGTCGATTAGAATCTTTAATCAAATTTATTGAAGTAATTGTAGTTTAGAAGATTTTTAAGACAAATAATAAAACATATAATATTTTTCTAAAAGATAGTTTACTTAAGAAAAAAAAATGATAAAATAAACATAAAAAATTCTAAAGAGGAAGTAAAAACCTTTATATGTAATAAGGTATAATGACAAAATTAATTCTCAACGCTTGTATAAAATGATCACTTTTTCCCTTTTTTTTTAGTATTTAATACTCAAAATTCTATTTTTAGTCAAAATCATTCATATTGGATGAAAATCAATTGTTGACTAATGATTAACATATATTATTGACGTAATATTTTCTCATATATCATATAATAAAAGTAATTAAATAAAATATCACGTCATTTAATATGATGACGTAATATTTGTCACATCACCTTATATGATGACATGACAAATATCACATCATCCAACATTATAATATGATATATGTCACACTACCCAACATGATAACATAACATGTACCACGCCAACAATTAAAATACATGTAAAAATATTACGTCAATAATATATGTTGGTGATTAATCAATTAACTATTTTCATCCAACATGCAACAAGTACTATTTTAACTAAAAATTAAAATATTAGATGTTAAATAACTCTAAAATATAAGTGGTAAAATAATTATTTGTGCAGAAATTGGAGCATTAATTTTGTCAAATTTTTTTATTAATATAAGGTAAGTAAAAGGTAATATATATTTAAAGATAACTCTTAATCATTTCACATTAAACGCCCCTAGTATTCATGGTACTTGTATTCAAAATCTTAAGGAATAGTAACCATTCATTTACCATAAAAGTTGGGTTCATGCTAATTTTGTCATTACGCCAAGTGAGAACCAGAGAGATATCAGTTTAAATAAGTGGACCAAGATCCAAACTCAATTTAATCGAAATGGCCGACTTAACCCAATTAGACACCCGGTCTGATTGATCTAGAACTTACCACAGAAGAATTAGGGCACAGGGGAAATTTGAATTGCTTCATTGTCACTGGGAGGTTTCGATTGATGAGTTACTGCTGAAAAATAAAACAGTTTTTAGAAGAGAGAGAGATGTCTATGGGAAGATTACTTGGGAATTTTAAAGGGCCTGTCGCCAGTGGAGATGACTCCCAAGCAGGTTAGTGGGAATTTATCCCTGGGTTTTGTATAGTAAATGTACAACTGGACTAACTTTTTTTCCCTAGAAAAAGAAAGTACACGTCGTGCTTGACTAAACAATAATAAACTATTCAGCCTTTTTTTAAAAAAAAAAAGAAAAAAGAATTCAACCTCATGCACTCCTACTCGGTTGTCCGCTTTCGTCAAAGTTTTGTTGTCCTCAACCTCATGCACTCTACCTAGATTGTCCACTTTCATTGGGAAAGAAACAACCTTATATCAGAAAAGTGTAATTCAACCAAAAGAAAAGATTAAAATGGATAAAAAGTAAAATGAACCCCTCCCCCATTTCCCTGAAATAAAAGTAGTTTGATATATATATATATATATATATATCATTTTTGAAAGTAACGTAACCTGAAACAAGTTTTTTTCTTTCTTTGGGATAGTGAAAAATGTTTTTCATATATTAAAATAGTTTTCAAGTATGCAGTTGTTAAATTTTAATTTAATCAAATATAAAAAATTAAACAAGATTTATGGAAGGAATAGAGACAGATCCTTGAAGGAACAGCCATATGGATGCCGATTATAGGCATCAAAGCAAGCAATTTTAGGACCCTTCACTCCCCCGGGTCCAATCAAACCCTGCTAATGACAAGGATGCTTTTTCTTGAGAGGAGGACAGGAACACCAGTTCTTCCTTCAGAAACTGATAGGAACCTAAAATCCTAGTATACCAAGATACATTTTGTTGAACTCTATTATCTCATATGGAACACAGAAGCAGAAACCAGCAAAAGACCAAAACAATAACATGGCCCAACTCATCGAGACATGAACAACACAAAATGAATCTTAGTAAGTAAAACCAAAATGCAATACCTGGTAATTAGTCACAGATTACAGACTAAGTTTTATAAGGTAATAAAAGTCGTAATTTAGATGTTTTTATCACATTCAATGGTATAGCATTTGGTTTAATTGCATCAAAGTGAAATGCAGAAAAAAAAAACAAAAATTCATTCTGAAGCATGGAGATAGATATTACAGAATGAAAAGAATGCTACAACAAAACTAGATATGAGGTGGCCACTGCTATCTTTTCAAGAAGAATTAGATTTAGAGCTAAGCAAACCTTGTTGAAGAAACCTAATTAATTTATTCAGAAGTGGTCCAGCAAAACCAGTGAAATCATTAAAAACCTGCAAAAAAAAAAAATTGTATTTGTAGTAGGAAGAACTTAAATTCATAAATAGCAACTTGAAAACTTCAGTCGATGATTTTTTACTTTTCTGCTAGGTGAATCCCATAATTCCCCATAAACAAGTACACCTCAAATTCTAAAAAAGTTTTAATGCATTAGGGAACACAGATATATCCATTCAACAAACAAGCTTGTATTTTCATTTTTTTTCAATGGAGCATAAAGAACTCGCAGATTGTAACCCCCTAGACCCAGTATATGCGTTACGACTAGATCTAGCGTATTGGAGCAAGGCAGCCGAGATCGACAATTGAGGAGCAGAACGAGTTTCTCCTTCTACACGACAGACGGTGGCCGATTTGGAGTCAATAACGGTTGAAGATTAAACAAAGAACAATGGCGGTTCAATTGACAATGGCTGTGCACTCCACCGCTGATCGGAGACAGTTGGTCGACAATGGGGCGACGGGGATGACTTTGGGGTTAATTGCGTGTTTGGTTTTTCCTAAAATGGGAAAGATGGTTCTCGAGCAGGGGTAATCTGAACCAAATTAAATTTTTAACCCCCCAATCACAAAGATATTTATAAACTATCTAATCAATACAATAACCTAATATGGAAGTGATCAATTTGAACCCATATGATCCCAAAAGCCCTGCATGCTTCTCTCTTTGACAACCGAGCAAACATGAACAATAATAATATCAGTTTATTTAATTTAGAAAATAAAAATTGGTAAAACAAGACACATTTTTAACTGAAATAAAAAAAAACAATAGGATTTGGCATGAAAGTTTCTGGGATGGCTATAATGGATGATAAGAGTATGGACAGCTGCAAAAAATGATGCAAAAGTAAAAAAGAGCCTTGCTGAAGCAGGCATGTCAAATATATACAGTGCAGTGTAAGGCAGAGAAACATCAGTTGAGGATCTCTCTACAGCTGTGCATGCTCTCATTGCGCAAAGCAGAGAATTATCATTTTCAGAAAACTAAGTATGCATTCATCAAAAGTAGTGTGATTTTTTTTCAAAAATGAAAACTAATGTCATAAAATTGGATCCCATGATTTAAATTAGCTTCCGTGAAACTCAAGCTAGCGTAAAATAATTCTGAATTTTTCATATCAACCAAGTTTTCTAAATAAATAATTTTGCTATGCTGTTACCCCAAATTGATTGGCTTGGAACAATTGACACTGATAATAAAAAAGATGGAGTATCCAAACTCTTTTAGAACAGTCCTAGTTCCAAATACAACAGATGGCTAATGGTAGAGAGGCTAAACATGAATATCAAGCTAGCATAAAATAATTTTGCATTTACCATATCGACTAAGTTTTCTAAAAAAAAAATTTTGCTATGGTGTTACCCCAAATTGATTGGCATGGATAATAAAAAAAGGTGGAGGATCCAAACTCTTTTGGTGTAAGAATAAAAAAGGAACACTACTAAGAGCACAATTATTTAAATTTTTTCTATAAAAATACAAATCATATAAACAATAAATAGGCGGGAAGCATGCACGAAAAACGTTGAGATGAAAGAATTACTTACAGAGTCTATGTGATGGCATTCCTCAATGTCCATCTCAACATGAAGAAGTGAATCTTCCAGTGGGCTACAAGTTGAGAATGAAAAAAGTTTAGCCAATAAGTATCAATATCACAAGTTACTATTATACAAGTTACAAACGTAAGCTAAGAACTACTAATTACAACGGGATAAAAAAGCTATACAAATATGTAATTAACATGTTGAGTCACTAACATGTAATCAGAAGAAGAAGAAAATGTAATTATCATCCATGCAATGACGAGAAACCCTTTCAATTTGATTACTATTACACAAGTTACAAACAAGAGCTAAGAATTACTAATTACGATGGGAGAATGAAAGCTATACACATAGGTAATTAACTTGTTGAGTCACTAATATGTAATCTGAAAAAAAGGGATGAATAAACTAATGCATGAATATACGTGACAAAGTGATTGAGCCAAGTCATTATCGGATATATAGCATCATAATCTTTTTACCATCTTTATATATTGTAATTAAAATAATCAGTTTCCCACATAAAGCATAATAATTGAAACATTTTCACACTTCATATGTCCTCACAGTTCCTCAATAATATTTTTTATTTGTATTTATCTTTTTCCATACCATTTCCCGCCCATTATTTTCTAGGTTAGGTATGATTGAAAAAGCATGTCAAGAAAGTTTTTGAGTAAAAATATTAGACTATTCCTAGAACTTTTATCTTATTTAGTTATGGATTGAAACATGATAGAAAAAGGTCCAAGCACAAGCTAGCTTAATTGGTAAAACCCTAAGGAATTGTACTAAGGTCCTCATACACCTTCATTAGGGATGGAGATGGAATTGATGAGATTCAATCATTGTCTCCTCTAGCCTTTTCGGAAAACAATTACTAAGGAAGAAACATGAAAAGAATACAAGATAAGTCGATAGAAAAATCTATTAGTGGTTGAACGACATTCCTGTTGCTAGTCTCATACAACACATAACATAGTCATAACAAGAATAAGAAATGATGACATGATAACATCATATCAACCAGCATATCCAAGTAATTTAATAATCTAAACTTAAGATACAACATGTAAAACAGTAAATGTAACCTGTGGTATAACCTAAATACTTGAAAATCATACCTGCTATTAATAGATGCTTGTTTTATCCGGATATAGTTAATGGATATACAGAACATGATATGCAAAAATAAAACAGAGCTTTCTTCAAGACACTTCTAAACCTGCCAAAAAGGATAAATAATTAATTAAGAGTTATAATATCACCTCAAAAGGAACAAATCAAAGCCTTACAGCTTGTAGTTGCCTTTTCTTTCTTTCTTTTTCAAGAAGAAGAAAAAGAATGGAACAAACTACTGTGACAGATCAGCAGTATGTAATTGAAAAATGCATTCCACACACGAAAAGATGATTTGATATGGAAGAAGAAAAAGCTTTACTTAAAGATTGTTTTCACAATATCATTGACACAGTTCAGACAATTTTTAAACTGCAAGTTGAACTGGAAACTAAAACCAAATGGCTTAAATATTGTTTTCCAATAATATATGCAAAATTCATATCCATGACCACTCAGAAGCAAAGACAATGGAGGCAAATATAACAAAATGAAATAGCAAGAAGTACGATTTTAATTAACTGAAATGGTTTTCGCATCTCAACATAAAGAAATGATTATTTCTTTTAGCCCTCAATAATATGTTGCATCTTTCCTCCGACTATTTAGATGGAGATGGCGTTGTACCATAATAGCATCCATGGTATCTTCTTGCTGAGAACTTTAAGAGAAAATCCCCATGAATCTTTTTTCTTTGTAAGCAATATGACATCCACACATGATAAACATTCTCCAATGACTGCTATAAGATGTAGAAGAACCTTCTCTGAAAATTTTACCTAGATTTTATATATATACACGTGTATAAATACATAATTCTTTTTGCGACTCCAGTCAAAAAATAAAAACAAAAAGAGGGCGAGAATTGAAGGAAATGGGGGAAGGGGAGCTATGAAGAATATTACTTGCTAAGTTTGATGCATGATAATAAATAAGAAGAATTGGAACTTCAAACCAGAGCAACAGCTGACGCATAAACCATATATCTCTAAAAAACAAAAAACAAAAAGACAGATATACTTCCATTCAATGAGGCATGAAATCATGAAAAATAGAAATTTCTCATTAGACATTATTAAAAAGGAAATGGAAGGACAATTGTCTTATATAAAGAAGAATTTACCATCCAGTTTGTTTCGGGCACTTCTCATAATTCAAACTATGCAGATCATGGCAGTTGTCGCAGCATTTACACCAAAACCTAAGATTGTAAACACAAATAAGGAAAGCCAAATTCAATAGAAACAATATTTGTTTTACTTTTGTGTTAAGATGAATACTAAAAATAAATTAAATAAATATTTTTTTTAAATAAGAGAAGAATAAGTCATCAAAACATTGCGAGAAGCCATTTCCATCCGACCATCCCAAACCTGGAAAAAGAGAAAGAAATGAACAAAGGGAAATATTAAAGTGATGACTTGTTTATCTTTTAAAGTTTAAACATCTAAACTATCAAAGATAGAAATAAATTCAAACTAAAAATGTAACAAAAGTACATAAAGAAAATTATAGCTAAGAACCTTAAAATCCAGCTCAGTGTCCCGGCAAACAAACAGAGGCTTAACACAATGTAGTGCTTTAAAAAACAGTCATTTTTGGATTCCTGGGAAAATCCAAGAGAATATAGTCTCTCAGGAAACAAACAGAATTTAGAAGTGACGGCTAACATTAAGCAAAAACAAAGCTGAAACGCTCTTTCTTCTCCGCACGACTAAGAAAAATTAGTCTGGTGGCCCAAAAATAATAGCAATTCTTTTGACTTGATTTTGTACCTACCAAAGGAAAATTAGGGCAAAGGAGAAATTTGAGTTGCTTCATTGTCGCTGGGAGGTTTTGAATGAGGAGTCACTATTGAAAAATAAAACGGTTTTTAAGAGATACAGAGAAGTCTAGGGGAAGATTACTTAGGAGTTATAAAGGGCATGTCGCTCGTTGAGCTTACTCCCATGCAGGTTAGTGGGAATTAATCCCGGGGTTTTATATAGTGAATGTACAACTGGGCTGACTTTTTTTCTTAGAAAAAAAAAAGTATGCGTCGTGCTTGACTAAACAATATTAAACTATTCAGTCTTTAAAAAAAAAAGAAATCAACCTCATGCAATCCACCTCGGTTGTCCAGTTTCGTCAAAGTTTTGTCGTCCTCAACCTCATGCACTCCACCTCGGTTGTCCACTTTCGTCGGAAAAGAAACCACCTTTTAGCAGAAAAGAGTAATTCAACCAAAGGAAAAGATTATTACGGATAAAAAGTAGAAGGAACCCCACCTCCATTTCCCTGAAATAAAAGTCGCCCCTTTGACTCTGATGGTCACTCTCCACGTTAATAGCATTAATTTTGTCCACTGGAAACAGAACCCCTGCCATTAAAATCCATTTCATCATTATTCATCCCCTCTGACTGGTGCCTCGTATCCATCAAAAAGCAAGTACCAGGAACATCATTATCCTCATGGGAATTAACCTCTGGATTTAATTCAACATTGCCACCTGTCTGACCTTCCTCGAGCCACGTATTGACTCTGTTTTGGACTTCCTCAAGTGACGATTGAGCTCCCAGGTTCACCAGCTGAGTCCGGTCATCATGTTCCCCATTCTCCGATGAACTTTCTTCCCAGATATCCTCCGAAGAAATCCCATCATTCTGATCACTATACACGTCCGATCTTGACTTAAATAACCCTGTTTTAATTTTTATCAGGAACGGTCTTCCATTTGCAAATAGTCTGATAGATTTTGGCACATCAAACGGGCTAGCAACCCTCAGTAGGAGCTTAGTCACAGTCAGATCATCTTTGGTTTTTGTTTCATCTTGGAATACAGACCAAATGCCCCCATCTGTTAGCCAGACTTTTGAAGACAAAATCGTTCCAGCTGATGAGAGGGACTCCATATAGGTTGACGGAACAGAAAGCCATGGGAACACCCTTCTCCATAACAAGCTTATCCAACCACTCAAACCAGTACGACAACTCTACCTTTTTGTTCAGCCATGTATCGTTCATTGCTTCTTCTGAAGGGAAATTAAGGATACACGAATTCCTGGCAAAACCCTAGCTCATGATCCTGACATCAATGCCATCGTTGAAGAGGGCTTTCTGGACGAACTCTAACTCGTACCCAGTCTTTACAATCCCAGTTAAAGAACAATCGATCCATTCCCTTTCTTTTGCTGGAATGAAAAAATTCGTCGGGTTTCTTGTTCCCTCGTGACATCATCTTCGAATTCGCTTCTCCATCAGAAGAATCACTACTATTCTCTAAAACTTCTTTGTAAGACCTTCAATCATTAAACTTTTTAAGTAATTCTACAGTATCCCCTGGTTTTCTGGAGGTTCCCTCCGATCGTCTCTTCAGCCTTTCACCATTTTTTCGTCCGGATTTCTCAGACTCTTCGTCTTCGGGTACTTAGCTATCCCCACCTACACCTTTCTCCCATCTATCACAATGTTGTTCAACTTCTTGATAGCATTCAGCTGATCGTCCTAACTTGCAAAGTGAACAAATGTGAAGGTGGATTCTCTATACTTTGGTCTATTGTTGAGAAAGGGGATGAAAACCTTTGCCACCCTTCCATGGTGATTGAATAGTTCCCTTAACGTACCTCTAGCAACTCTTCTACTAAGGTTGTCGAAGAAAACAGGCGAGGTTGCTCCAGTAGGGAGCGAACCGACTCTAAGACTTCTTCTATTAGAGAGAGATAATTAATTAAGAATGGAACAAGAAAAAAGCCTTACAGCTTGAAGTTGCCTTTTCTTTCTTTCTTTTTCAAGAAGAATAAGAATGGAACAAATTATTGTGACATATCAGCAGTATGTAATTGCAACATGCATTCTACACAAGAAAAGATTATTTGATGTAGAAGACTAAACGGTTTTACTTAAAGATTTTTTTCACAATATCATTGACTAAACAGTTCAGACAATTTTTAAACTGCAAGTTCAACTGGAAACTAAAACCAAATGGCTTAAATATTGCTTTCCAATAATATATGCAAAATTCATATCCATGATCACTCAGAAGCGAAGACAATGGAGGCAAATATAACAAAATGAAATTGCAAGAAGTAAGATGTTAATCAACTGTAATGGTTTTGGCATCTCAAATTTTTGGAAGAAATGATTATTTCTTTTAGCCCTCAATAATATTTTGCGTCTTTCCTCCTACTATTTAGATGGAGATGGCATTGTACCATAAAAGCATCCATAGGGTTAAAATTTTATATTAGCATGATATGAAAAATCCAGCGTGCAAACCTACTTGTATGCATTACATGGTTCATAGAGCAAACAGAAACAAAACATAAGCTAACACACCATTAAAGACTTAAAGATGAGCAAGATCAACAGAAAGATGAGCAAGATCAACAGAAAGATGTGCAAGATCAACAGCACGATAAATTATAGAAGCACTTGATAAATATCACTAAAAGGAAAAACAAAGTACCTCCATTGAAGAGAATGCCTGTTGCAAATGAGGCATTCCAAACATAGATTTTATAATCCACCATATACAGCGGAATGTATCGCAAAATGTGTTGAAAACATTAACACCTCAAAGAGAACATGATAGTTGCCTGAATATAGTTTCAATATTTAAGAAACAAGCAATATTAAGATACCAGAATAATGTTTATAAAAGCAAAGAAAACTGCTTAAAGTTCTCGGAAAAAGTCAATGTCTTAAACATAGAAAAGCTTACCCAGACCATGAAATGTGAAAATCTGAAGGAAATGTGGGAAGGGGAGATATGAAGCATATTACTTGATTAGTTTGATGCATGATAATAATACGAAGAATTAGAACGTCATGCTGGAGCAACAGCTGATGCATAAACCATTTATTTCCAAAAAAGGAAAAAAAGCTGGTATATTTCCATTCCACGAGGCATGAAATCATGAAAAATAGAAATTTCTCATTAGCTCTGTTTTGAAAACCGGACCGGACCGGCCGGTTCAACCGGGAACCGTTGCCTAGTCCGATTTAATCTAAACCGGTTGAACCGCTACTACAGAACCGCTGAACTGTTCGAACCAGACCGGCTGAAAACCGGAAAAAAGGGGAAATTTTGTTTTTTTTTTTAAAATTAAACCAAACGTCGTTTGTTAAACGAGCCAAGTCGAACTCGAGTATTGCTGAGCTCGACTCGAACTTGAAAACTTTAAAAGTAAGCTCAACTCCACTCAAACTCACAAGTTAAAAATTATCAAGTTCAACTCGACTCAAAATATAATATTAAAACTTGAACTCAAAAAGGCTTGAACTAAAAAAAAATTTAGAAGCTCAATTGAAGCCTAAAATTCGAGCTTGATTGAAGTGAAAGAATAGTTCACTCAAGGCTCCATGATTTTGAATGCTAAATTACCTCTATTATTTATAGAAGTTAATTGTGATGCTCTTCTATGTTTCTTAGCAATGTGGGATTGTTTTGTTCTCATATTTTTACTCTTTAGACTTTTGGGATGCTCTTCTATGTTTCTTAGATGTGAGATTGTTCTTTTAAAAAAAATTAAACCAAACAATATCATTTTGTTATGATTTTTTTAGCCCCAAATTTATTTTTTAATTATAGTTATATAATTATATTTATTATTTAATATGTTTTACCTTAAATATTATGTTGTAGTTAATTTGAATCATTTTGTTTCACTTGATTTTATGGTTTTTAATTTATATATGTTATGATTTGCTTTGAATATGACTTGTGATATAAAAAATTATTTTTTATTAAATATTTTTGGTATTTTTATTTAATTTTTTAAATAATTATGACTTCGTCCGGTTCTTCCGACCGGTCAGACCGGTTCGACCGGTTGAACCAGTGAACCGGTAGCATGACCGGTTCTGAAAATTATGCTCATTAGACATTATTAAAAAAGGAAATGAAAGGACAATAGTCTTGTATAAAGAAGAATTTACCATCCAGTTTGTTCTGGCACTTCTTCTCATAATTCCAACTATGCAAATCATGGCAATAGTCGTGGCATCTATACCAAAACCTAAGACTGTAAACACGAATAAGGAAAGCCAAACTCAATAGAAACATTTTCTGTTTCACTTTTGTGTGAAGATGATGCCTAAAAATAAGTCAAATAAATATTTTTTTAAATAAAAGAAGGATATAAGTCATTAAAACATTGCGAGAAGCCATTTCCATCCCAAACCTGGAAAAAGAAAAAAAAATGAACAAATGGAAATATTGAAGTGATGACTTGTTTATCTTTTAAAGTTTAAACATCTAAACTATCAAAGATAGAAAGAAGTAAAATTCAAACTAAAATTGGAACAAAAGTACAGAAAGAAACTAATAGCTAAGAATTTTAAAATCCAGTTCAGTTTCCCGGCAAACAAACAGAGGCTTAACAGAATGTATACAGTGCTTTTAAAAAACACGTCATTTTTCGATTCCTCGGAAAATCCAAGAGAATATAGTCTCTCTGGAAACAAACAGAATTTAGAAGTGACGGCCAATATTAAGCAAAAACAAAGCTGAAACGCTCCTTCTTCTCCGTAAGACCAAGAAAAATCAAGTCTGGTGGCCCAAAAATAATAACAATACTTTTGAATTAATTTTGTTACACAAGAAAAATGAACTTACCAAAGGATAATTAGGGCAAAGGAGAAATTTGAGTTGCTTCATTGTCGCTGGGAGGTTTTGATTGAGGAGTCACTGCTGAAAAATAAAACGTTTTTTAAGAGAGACAGAGATGTCTAGGGGAAGGTTACTTAGGAGTTATAAAGGGCCTGTCGCCCGTGGAGCTTACTCCCATGCAGGTTAGTGGGGAATTAATCCCGGGGTTTTGTATAGTGAATCTACAACTGGGCTGAGATTTTTTTCCTATATAAAAAAAAGTATGCGTCGTGCTTGACTAAACAATATTAAACTTTTTTTCTGACCCCAAAAAACAATATTAAACTATTCAGGCTTTAAATAAAAAGAATTCGGACCAGAAAAATAATAATTAATTATTAAATAACAAGAAAACTCGATATCAAATTTCAAATATGGTAAAATAAAATCCAGTAAATTAAAATTCTATATAATGTAGTACATTTTATAATTTACATAAACATAAGATAGCTCTTTATTCCCTTCACTCGCAAGCTTTTTTAAAATTCACTTTTATAAAATAGAAAAATATAAATTTAAAAAATAAAATAAATGGTTGTTCAAGTCAAGTGAATGATCTTGCATGCTGCTGACAATTAAGTCTACACATACAAAAAAAAAGATTTAAAAAAACAAGTTATCATATCTATGTTTTTTCTTTCTTTAGGGTAGTGAAAAGTGTTTTTCATATATTAAAATAGTTTTCAAGTATGCGGTTGTTAAATTTTAATTTAATCAAATATAAATAACTAAACAAGATTTATAGAAGGAATAGAGACATATCCTTGAAGGAACAGCCATATGCATGCCGATTATAGCCTATAGGCATCAATGCAAGCAGTTTTAGGATCATTCCAACATAAAGTCAAACAGATGCTCTGCAACAGAAAAAATATAGGATTTCTACGGAAGAAAGAATGAGTATAAATAAATATCAAGCAATGTCATCCTTATTAATTGACAAGAAATCATTTATAATCTTGAAAATCGTTAAAAAAACATTTTTAAATCTTTAAAATCTAACAACAAATCTGAACATAAATCCAAAATCTAAAACTGAGATAATATATATTATGGATACCTGAAGTAATTTTGTGACGTTACTGGCACCATAGATTCTTTGAACAGAAACAATTCTTTGGGGATTATATGACGGAAAATAAGGAGAGAGAATGCAGTATTCCGTACATATTCTCCTCAAATATCTGCAAGCCGCATAACGACCAGAACTCATTGCTCAAGAATCTATTGAAACTCAACAGGAAGATTTCCTAAATCTATGTTGTTGGAAAATAAATCTATCGATACACAAGGGAATTGAAAAAAAAGATTAGGGAATTGAAGTAGAAAAAGAGGAACGGCTAGTTTTTTCAAGAATTGGGAATTGAGAGGGAAAGTGTGTAATGGGAAGGGGATTGCCATATTTGCAGAGAGGATGGAGTTGGATAGAAGAAAGCGTGGCAACGTTTCTTATGTCATCTATATATACTAGCCAAAACCCCGTTAAAACATTGGGAGATTTCCCACGGCTATTAAAATTAGCTGGGCCGGAAACCCGTAGGAAGGCGGACCTTGTTGCATTTAAATACTCTGAATAAAATTAGGATAGAGTATACTCAAGTCATTTAATTATTAATGTAATTGTGAATAAATAATGTTACCATGTCAACCGTGGGAATACCTTTATCTCAGAAAATATCTTAAAAAGAAAAGGAAAGTAAAGAAACTCTAGTATGTTACCATGTCAACCGTGGGGAATACCTTTTCCTCAGAAAGCTTCCTACCAGTCTTTCGTCTAGATTTTACGCTTTCACAGTTCAACTGCTTCGAATCATGTATGTTAGTGAAATGTCTCCTGGCCAACCAACCACGGATTACTGCAGTGGAGAAAAACACGATAATGATAAGAAA